GTGTGTGTGTGTGTGTGTGTGCGTGCGTGCCTGTGTGTGTGTGTGTGAAGAGAAGGAGGAGGAGAAGGAGGAGGAGGAGGAGGCTGGGGCATCTCCACTCCTCAGTGCAGCACGTATCTACCTGGATGTCCATGATGTCATCCTCCCAGAAGGCTCGCCTTGCCGAGCCTGGCTTTTGCAGGTGGCAAAATAAAGCGCAGCAATAGGGAGGAGAGCAGAGAGAGCACCTCTCTTGTGGCCACTTGTGTACTCGAGTTCGCATCACTGCGTGTTCATGTGTGCGTTCACAGATTCATGTTTGCACGCATCTTTCCCAAATGCTGCGGCGATGCTTTTGCACTTTGCATCTGTACATTTATGCATCCATGTGCCCCCTTTAAGCTCTGAGCGCTTTAACTGCCCGTGTACATTTAAACATGTGTGTAGCAGCGCGCCTACCTGGCTCTTGATGATGTCATCGTCCTGGTGGATTTGCAGGACATATCCAGAGTTGCAGAATATGGTGCAGCGGTCCCCGTTGTAGAAGTGGCGACCAGTGCTACTGCACTTGAGCTCTGCATTGCGGATTAAAGGTTCCTGGCAGTCAATGGCTTCGCAGGAATAATGTACACAACTATGAGGGAGTGTGTGTGTGGGGGGGAGTAAAAGAAAGTGAGAGAGGGAGAGAGAGAAAGAGAGAGAAATAAAGTCAAAAAACACATTCAAAGTTACAACCAACAAAAATTCGGTGTGTGAGTGAAATAACACTGCAGACACTCGTACACGGTCACACGCCTGCTCACTAAGTCAGCAACATCCATCCATCAATGACTGTTTAACATATCAAATCAATAAACCACATGGAGAAAAGATCACCATGTTTGCTGTGCGCATGACAGGAGGGACGACTGCGTGCATGACAGAGTGGGGCTCGTGTATTAAGAGTGACAGGATATAATATGTGCAGGCTACAGTGGCAGCACTTGGCCACAGCCTTGTGTTGGTAGCCTGATAGAGAAGGCATTGAATGCTCCTGGAATGTTTGGATGCCCAAGGCACCTTTTTTACAACAGTCCACATTCTACAGTATAGGGTTACCTTAGGAAGAAAGAGGGAGAGAGAGAGGGAAAGAAGGTGAGAGAGAGGATGTAAGGAAATACAGGTCTGGAGAAACATTGTTAAACTCACTGCTGCACAAATGGAATCTCTATTTTGCTCCCTCTGTTCAGCTGATTTCCTGATTCTGTTCAGACTTTTCCTTAAACTTTAACTGTAGTATATTATCCCTTATGTCCGACTTCACTGGTGTTTGAAGACACTGAAGCAAAGCATTAATGAGCTCTCAAACATAATCCAAACAGTCGTCTTGACAGGATGCTGAGCCGAGCAGGTGAAGACTGTTCAGGCACGTGAGGAGCCGTGCTGTATATGTAGGGTTTTTGAGGACAGACCAGGGAAGCCTGTGGACACTTTGGCTTGGAACTAAATCTCTGTGTGGTTTTCTGCTAGTCACTTTGGAATTTCTGACATAAATTACAATTAACCACTTGGAAAACTTTCCTCCTCCGCTGCACATGAGAACTACTGTATACAGCACAATAAAACAGTATGTGAAGAACAGAATAGCAGAGGGAGAGCAGAGCAGGAAAAATTTGTGTAAATATCCTGTGCATGGTAAAGAAAACAAACTGTGACAATTCCTGATGTGGAAAGAATATAAAGTTTGAGTTTTAAGGGAGGAAAAAATTTGTGAAAAAGACAAAAGGGAAAACATATATATGCATGTGCTTGCAGACGAGTAACATAAGACTGAGTCATGTTAATAGCTCCTGTTGTTAACAACTTAGGGAAAAGGGGATGTGGTGTTTTGTGGCAGCACAAGTATTACGGGAAATGTGCCGCTCAGCCCAGGAGAAAGAGAGAGGGAACGCGGGAGCAGGAGGCACAGAAAGGGGAGACGTTAGAAGGAAGAGATGGCAAAGAGTGCAAGGGAAAGGGAGATGATGTGAAAGTAAAGGATGGGACGACAGCGCGGATGACGGATATGATTAAGGGGGAAGAGGAGGAGTTGAGATGGGATGGAGTGGGAATACAGGAAGCGAAGACGGAGTGGGGTGGGGGGAAAAAATGGAGAGAGGAGATAAGAAAATTTGGAAAGTATAGAAGAAGTCAGAATGCAGATGATGAATTGGAGTTGATCAAAGAAAAAGAATATGCGATCTATGACAGGGAGAGCCAGGATTCTGTCCAGATGTAAAGGCAGTCCGGTGAATAACAACCGATCATACTACCATATTATAATAGTCGGCCTGTAGCGTGTCTGAGTCAAGACCGTCTGGAGATAAATGGACATGTCTCCTTGACTTTCCATCACATAAACATGATCGTATTCAAGAGCCTCTGGATATTAGATAAAGTGGAAAGAAAAGAAAGTGGAGAAAGTGAGAACTCAGAGAGAGAAAGCAACTAGTCTGTGTTTCTGTGTATGCGTGTGTGTGAGCTGTACCAAAGCAATTTCCTGGCTTATGCAGATACACAATAGTTTTAATCTATTTAGGTGCTCTTGGATGTCTCATTGGCACACAACAAAAGCCACAAACAGCTCTATCTCCACACACAGACCCCCAGACCATGCACTCTTTGTGTATTGTGCTGTTTATTAGTGCATTTCTTGTTGAAAGGGCTGAGGGAGCGTCGTCAGTATGAACCGTCTCATGCATGACAGTGGTGTGGAAATTGATAAATTGTGACTCCTTCTGCATGCATGTGTGTGTGTGTGTGGTCTCGTTATGTTTGTGAGGACGGACTTGATGGTTTGTAGTTAAAATTAACGGCACAGGAGACTCCAAATAGTCAGTTAACAGCTAAATAGGTGTTGATTGTTTTGGTGGCATTGCCAACAGCTCTTACAGATGTCATCAAAAATTAAAAGAGCTTTTTACTTACAGCGGGGGTCAATTTGATCGTTTGATCGGATGCTGCAGCATTTTATTCATCACACAAGAAATGTTCAAATATAAAATACTGCTACACACTGAGCATCACCTTCAATTCCTGATCGACAGTTTATTTATTTAACTTTCTGCTTAAAGCTCCAAACATCACAGCCGACAACCTCAGCATAGTTTTGAACGATACAGAAACTATTACAGGAGAAACATGTGTATTTTGGCAGGACTTTTCAAAGGGATATTTTTAAGCACTCGTGTGCACTTCAGCCAATACAAAGGAAGGTAAACAAGATTAGTGCTGGAGGCAGCGAGGCTGCACTAATGTTGCAAATTCGCAGACTTCAGCAGGCGGTCCAAACTGATTGTAAATTTAAAGTGATATTATGACCGTTACCTGAAAGTGTTACTGTTACAGTTCAGCTGTAATTTTGGGCAGAGATCTGACATTACACAGATTGTTGGCAACATTACTGAACGCAAGACTCTCAAAAACGCAGAGAGACACACAGCTCCGAGAATGTTTCGTCTCTGGTTTCAGCTTCAACGGTATCCTTTGAATAAACAGGTGAACAACTCTTTGTCCTGTAGCAGGTCTTCACGTGACATGACTCAATTACTGTAGGTCAGTTTTACAGTTTCAGCATCACCACAGATCAAGCAAACAGCCCATTCCAAAAAGTTTAGTACAGGAGTTGCATTAGTTTGTTTTAATCGGTATTAGTGAAAGACTTCATCTGTGTATGCATATCTGTGTGTTTGAGAGCCTCATTTAAGCCTCATGCACACCAGTGTTCAATTTCCGTACTCTCCCCTCTCTCACCTCTGTCCTGTGGGGTTGTAGATCTCATTGCTCTGGCAACCACTTATCGTGATGGGGTCAAAGGACTGGAAGGAGCGCAGACCTACACCTGAGATGGCAACGAGGTGAGAAGCGAACATGACCAGGATCGCCTTGGTGTGGTAGAAGGCCACTGACAGGTCATGGTTCACAGGGATCACCAGAGGGTTGGTGCGGCAGCTGAGGCGCCACTCCCCTGTGGGATAGGTGTTGGTAAAAAAACAAAATTCACAGAAGGCAAACACAAACACTTAAGGGGGGGGGTCTCATTCTGCATCAGACTACTGAATGAGGTGGGTCAAGGCTCAACCCAATCTGAAGCTATAAAACAGTTCTCACCCAGACTGTGGATGCCTTCCTTGGTGTCCACGAGCTGAACTGTGATGTTACATTGAGTCTGGTCAAGGTAGCTAGTCCCATCAGCAGCCAGGTGAATAATCACTGCTGCTGCCACCATAGGATGAGAAAAGTGTGCCTGAGTGAAGAAAAAGTGTAAAGTTAAGCATAAAACTTTAGTACTTGACATCTTTCCTTAGTGCTGCCTGCAGACAGTCATATTTTTATTTGAATCCTATCAAGATCTGGATGTTTTGTCTACTTCCTGTCGCAATTTGAATGATATTTATTTTATCTAATTATATTCTAAATGTAATTATGTATGTCTGAAAATAAAAAGTGATGACACAGAAGAATGTCATTGTGTATAACTGAAATATTGTTCCTGACTCGGAAGGATTCCTCTTTTTATACTGGCATACCCTTTAAATTATTGTCATTGGGCCGTCCTTTTAACAACTAAGACTTTACAGGGAAATCAGGCATCGGATAGAATGAATCATTGAGACCATAAAATCAGAGGATCATTAATCATGAGGACCTCTTTACAAAGCCATAAAACTCCACATTAATATGGATTTTTCTTTTTTTGCAACAGGTACAGTAAAATAAAACCAATGACAGAAGGTCAGGGGTTAGGGTTAGCTGTAGAAACAGTGGCATATGCCATAGCTAGGAAACCTTCACAAGAGCAGAACTAATATGTCTAAAACCTTCAGGACCTGGTCTGTAAGATCTAATACATATTACTTAGCTCTCTTACGTTTCATGAATATGACGACATAGTAGTTTGACTATAACAGCTATAATGGCAAACTCTAACCCTATAACCTTAACCTGCCCCTTATATATACCCCAAACCCTAACCCACCAGGTCAATAAATGCATTAAAATACCAAAGCACTGCAACTCCTTCTCTTTTGATACTGCCTGAGCCGTATTTAATGGATATGCAGTAGGTCTTACTTTGAGCCAATAGCTGGGATATCCCCAGGCGGAGTCATGGGCATCACGACAGGGGAACCACGCATACTGGGAAATGCCATCAGACAGATCAAACACCTTGGACTGACACGTCTAAGGAAACAGAAAAGGAAAGGTTATTTTTGTTTGTATGTATTAGCATCTAGAGAGCAGCATTTTTTCTTTGCACGCTTGCATTATATAGCATGTGTAAAGATGTAGAGACAAATGTAAGAAACGAATAGGGAACACTCTCGCAACTAAATTACATCTTTGGTTTTCTAAACTTGTGGCACACAGTGGGATCCACTGAGTCTGACTTCTGTACCCAGTTTTATGAAATATATAGAAATAGATGGATTATCTTAATAATGATGTGATGTTGCAAAAGTACCTTTTGTTCCATCTAATTATGCAAGCTTACAGGTGATTACACACGGAGACGCTCTGTTCCTATCATCTGCTCCAGTTGACAAATATGATCTCTGAGGAGCTTCCACCTTTCACAACTCATCACAATCCGACTCAGAGTGAGAGAGAGGAACACAGTCGTAAGTTCAGAAGACAACACGCTCAAATTCTGGTAAAGTGAGCGTCAGCTGAGCAGCTAAGTGGTGTGTATCTTACATACATCTATAAAACAGCTTCAAATTGGTTACAGTTGAGACAATTCTGTGACCCCTCTTTTTTCCACTGCTGACAGCTGTGTATCAGCTGTTTGGTGTGACATGTGCGGCTGACGTGTGGCTGACGTGTGTTCTGTGCAGCGCTGTTTGTTTGTGTCTAATCAACAAACCCAGGGGCGTGTCATGCGTGTCACACGCCGCATGATACTGCTCCTCTACTGAATCTTCCTCACACTGACCTCTGCTTTGATGGACGAACCAGGTGCTGGAGTTTTAAAACCCTCAGAGAGTTTTCATGATTCTTCGTTGTGCCTAAATTGTCACACAGCTGCACAGCTGTACCGTTTCCTTAATTTTCTGCAGATTACTTTGCTGACTCAGCATCCCAGCCTTACTCACCTGTTGAATGCTTGCAATAAATTATGTATTAACCTTAACACAAACTGCTGCTGTTGTTGCAGAGTACACAGACCCAGAGAAGCACATGCGAATAATCTAAATGTCCAATCATTCTGTACCTTCGAACAAAGCGACTTTATATTTCTAAGGAGAAATAATGTAATACCCAGGATGTAATGAGGAAAAGAACAATGTGACATTTAATCTGAGAAAATATTTATTAATACTACCTAGATATACTGTAATTAGTCCATTGATAAGACGATAGATTACAGTATGTTAACCACTGATAAATCGAACTGAACCGTTAATAGGGAAGGTAGAACTTTTCTTATAGTAAAAAAAATGAGTTTTTGCTCATCCCCATTTATTTTTGCTGACTGCTGTGCTATAGCTAAGCTAAAGAATGATGACAGGCAGCCGAAAGTCTCACCTTACCACTCCGTCACCCTATCAGAAGCAGTGATAATGGCAGTGCTTTTAAGAGTAAAAGTAATACAACTCAATATAAAACTATAATATACAATCATCATTAATCCTACAATGATAGAGCCCCTCATTATTCTGGGGCTCAGCCAAAAAGAGCTGAGTCCCAAACTCCACTGCCAGAATTCTAAGAGATAAGACAATATCATGTTACAACACTACTTGATAGCTTCTGTACCTGTAAGAGCAAAAATAATAACATGGTTATTATTATTATTATACAGGTGCTTAAAGGACTCCCTCCAGGATTTATATCTCACACATTATCTCCTCATTAACTTTGCTGGGATGATATTCTGCATTTGGACAGAAAAAGAAAAGTAATGGGTGGTGAAAGGTTACTGAGCTATAGATAAACACAGACAAAGGGGAGAGAGGGCAGATGCCCAAGGACGGTGAGTTTCGCCCGTTGCCCTGAGCCGGTGAAATGAGACACCGGTAACATGAGAATTTTGCTGGGGAGGCTGCTGTAAGGTTCCTGCCACCGTGGAAATCACCCAGACCTGCTATCTGTCCATATATCTGTTCCCTGGATCTGTTGACGTGACCTTTTCTGCTGAGAGCTGAAGTGGCACAAACGTGAAAATGCAGGTGAGAAACACCTGAGGTCAGTTGCCATGAGACTTTGGCCCTGGTTGAGTAGACGTACTTTCTCACTCACATTCCGCATATACAGCAACATATTAATTAACAAATACAGCAACAAATTTAGATTTCAGTTCATTTTCATTTCATTCAAGCAAGCGTATAATGCTTCCCAGGCCATCGCTGTCTTTGGTCCAGACAAAGAATCAAAACGCCCATGCCGTTCTGTGTGACTCTTCCCAACTGGATGACTTAATTAACCAATATGCTTTGAGGCGACTGTGGGTCTGCTAATGACTCTGAGTCGAAAGGAGCTGTTTCCATTGCTAACCCTTCTCTGGCGTGGCAGGTGACAAAACCATTTCCATGTGCAAACTGATGACTTATTCATGTAAACACAGGTGGCACCACAGCTACACCTCCTTCCACACCCCTCCTCCTCTCACCCTTTCCTCCCCCCCATCTCCTGGTGTGTTTTTCTAACAACCTACCGTTTGAGACAGACAAACACTGCTTGGCATGCCAAAACCCTTGGCCTCGAGCAAACACCCCCCACAAAGCATCACACCAGTAGGAGGTAATTCACAAGTCTCCCCGTGGCTCATAGATTTCCTCGAACCTCCACACAATGCAATGGAAAGAGTCAAATCACTCTATGTTAGCTGTTTAACTGTATTTTATTATTATTTTATTTTGTCCATTTATCCATCCGTGCATATTTTCAGAAAATGCTACGAATAAGAAATAAAATTGGTGAACAGCAAGACGAGGGAATTCTTTGCATAGACCAACGTGGAACTGTTACAGACAGTGGGTTTTTTCACCACACTTTTTCACCACTAGTATTCAAGTCAGCAGGAAGCGGATGTGTGTGACTGCGTCATCGTTTCCAAATGTCAAAATGTTTGCCCATCCATGCTACAATGCAGCTCAGATTTTGCTAATTTAAACGAGGCCTGCAGCATTTACACACCGTGGACGACAGGCGTTAACGTAGCAATGGTGACGCGTTTGAAAATTGTGTGGCTGTGGTAATGGAGAAAACAAATGCAGAGGAGGAGGAGGCGAAACGTGAACAGGCTCTGGGAGATAGTTCTGGATTCAAACCCACGACCGTCTTTTTGTGATTCGATGGTTGTACCAACTGCATCATGACGTAAAAATACCATTCAAGCCCTTTCCTCTTTTTTTCCAATACCTTTTTCCCCTTCTCTCGCTGTTGAGAACTTCTTCATGCATGTAGTTGAAGTCAATTTTCAGCTGTGTTTGGTATTCCCATTACTTTGGCTCCTGTTTGATCAGAAAAATCTTAGTTTCCGACATAAATCTAAAGGCTCGGGTCCATGATCTCAAACACTGAACACATTTTTTATTAGAACTTCACATACTTCAGCATCTTAGGCCTAATTCCTGTTATTAACATTTGGGTCATTGGATCACAAGTGAACACCTCTTAGTTCGTCAGTTCACACCTGGAATTAGAATTTATTCACATATGTGTCTCAAGCGACCACATGTGATCAGGTCTCACTGCGCAGTTCTATGTGCAAACAGACAGGCACGTCATTTCTGTTCGCAAAGATCAAATGATGTTGTTTCTAGTCAGTCTGACTGTGACAGGGGGTGTTAATGTGTCAGCCTGCGTGTGTGTGAAAGAGAGAGGGATGGAGAGAGAGCGGATACGGGAGGGGCTGAGCAGATCAATGCGCTTCACTTTTAAGATTGTACTCATTTTAAATAATAAAAGTAACACACATCATTACTGAGGCGGAGGAGATAAATAAATCAATGAAAGAATCAGAAGTGTAAAATGCTTTCAGTTCATTATGAAACAGATCGGAGTATGACAGCTGAGTAGGCGGTCCGCTGGTGTGGCCCTGGACAGGTTTACGTTCACACAGCTGAAAGAATGTGACCACAAAGCGTCCCAGACCACCTCCGAATGTGGTCTGAGTGATCGGATCTCAAATGCATCCACAATGCATCTTGGCTGCTTTCACTCCTGTACTTAGAGCTGTCCGCCCAAGACCGATGTTAATCCCAGATCTGAGCAGGGCCTGAGTTTACTTTCATATTCGTTAGAAAATTCCAATCCAGCTTTCTTCAAGACAGGTCCAGAAGACAATCTGCAGTTCTGTGTGATCAGGCCAATTCATGTTTATTCATGAAACAAACTTTTTAAGGTGAAATATCGAAATAAAGAAGTCACTGCAGATGGTCCATTGTAGAAAATGCTCGAATTTGAGATGTGCTTTTAAATAAATGATAAATTGAACAAGAAAATGCAATTTTTCAAATAATTCCACTCAACCTAACATTACACTAGCAAAAATATTGTGGAATTTCAAAACATTAATACACACTTATATGATTTACTCCATGCATCCGTTATCATTATCAGTCCCAGCAGATCAGTGGGTGAGAGGCGAGGTTTTGGAAAGCAGCAGTTGAAACGTATATTATACTGTGTTCTCCTGCGTACTTTGATCAGATGTTATTCAAGGTTATGTGCATTTTCAACAATAAGTCCATAAGGATGTTAAAAGGCATGTGCATTGATTCTTGCACTGAGAACTGGGGAAGAGGAGTCCAGAAATGTCAGTAGTAGCCACTTTATCACAGGTTCAGTAACAAAACCTGATAATTGTACATAAAAGTGCAAGTTCACAACATGTGGCTTCAATTGGCAAATATGCAAAAGTTGCTTTAACCATTGTAACAACTGTAGCTGCAGCATAAGCATTTTTGCAATAACATCTGCACAAACCATCCATGTATAATCACTGCGTTAAATAAGTCTAGCTTAGAGAATGTACCTGTTATTGACAAACACAAAGTCTGCTTCTCTCTGTGACTTTGGCCCTAGATTGCCTCATATTATAATCTATCTCAGAAACAGCAGGATTTTAAAATAAACTTGTATGGCTAATACATCATCTGAATCCAATGAGACAAATCAAAATAAGAAGCAGATGTTGATTTCCTTTATCACTGTCCTACCGCAAGCCCTGATCAATC